ATATATAATCATATGTATATTATGTATTATATAATAATATAATACTCATAAATTTTGCCATCATCATAATTATCTGATACGCATTTAAAATGTATATTAACTGAAAATATATCAACGTCGAAAGTAATTTTCGAGTGGTAGATATTACTCTAATACCAAACGTAACTTACTGCAACCTTCAGTTTGGGAAATCGTTCTTGACAGTATTTACATTGCGCAAGTCGAAACGCACAGTCGATTTTCAAATGTTTCTCAAGGTCCTTTCGTCGAATCGATGCAACGCACCCATTGAGTTGATTCGGGCATTTCACCATCGCAAACTCACAGACATCGGTGTGTTTTTCAAGTTCTTTCAGAGGAAATTCGGCTTGACAGCCTTCTAAATTCTTCGGACAGAACACGATTTGTTTGTCAAGCTGTTTCTTGACTCGATAATCTGGAACCATCTCCGCTGAGGATATTGTCTCTTTACATGAAGGGCAATCGAATTTGTCATCTATATTGTGCTCCCTGTATGTGGATAAAAAACATTTAAGGCCTTGCAGAAACTACCAGTCTTCCCGTTCCAGACCTATATCGGAAAAATGCTGTGTTGTGCCACAACACCCTTCTCCGACAGGCGCCCCCACTGGTTTCAAGCATGCCCTTATTATATAATTATCACATAGGCCTACGTTATTACAGGTATAATGAAATTATATAAAATCCCGAATTAGGCTAAATATCGTCACTGATGGAGGTGTTTTTCTATAGTAAGTTTATTAAAGTTCAGTAAAAATCATGTCATTTCGAAAGATGGATTTGTTGGAGAACGTGATTTTTCCCTCGATGGGTGATTTACCAACCATACAGGTACTACTACTATATACTATAGCATTCATCATTAACTTCCGGTGGTAAGAAGCGGATATCCTCTTGTGTGGTTAATGTCTTCCTTCCTTCCGATCTTAGCGGTTAAATTACGCAACTACTGTACATTACACGTACCGGTACCTGTCTCTCTGATCTTATTCAAATCCAACTTGACCTAAATCCTTTCTCTTAAAATAATTCTAACATCTTCCAGCGCCAATCACAAGCGCTCTAGAAATGTGATATTAATACTATTATTTTTGTTGTTGGTGTTGTTTAATATTCATCATCCGTTATTCTTGGCTGCATCTGGTATATAACGAATACCGGTATAGAAAGCCCCTGTGTACCTTAATGCTTTGACAGGCTCCTGATGATACGTACCAGTACGTGTGGCAGTTCAGAAAGTACTGCTTGTCAAGGCACACACCCCCCATCCCCACCCACGCATGCTCTGAACAAATCCTCCTCCCTATTTGACAGTCCGATCAATATAGGCCTAAGTGTTTTAAAGTGTTTAAATACTACAGTTTACAGTGGCGGATTTAGGATGGGGATTGGAAGGGCCGGGCTGGCCTCTTTTGAAAGTCAAAAAATAAATAAATTAATAAAATAAAATAAGAAAAGAAAAAGAAATTATTAATCGCCCAAAACGCATCAGAGGTTATTCCCGAGTGTTTAGAAAACAACATTTTTCCGGGACATGCCCCCGGGCCCCCTACGGTAGTGTTGCATTTCGATCGGCGCCCCCCCCCCCTCCTCTTTCGGCC